GAGGGGAGAAAAATAGATTTTATGTTTAATTATTCTCCATAAAACTGCTATGTCTTACAAGGGCTTTTATCATCTTTAGTGACAGTGGTAGTCTTCTAGTAATCTGTATTGGCTCTTTTTGACAATTATGGTGTTTATTTCTCAGGACTGAGCTCTGGGCTGTAGAGCCAGTGTCTCCTTCTTTGCCTGAGCTAAACGCTGAAGATGGATTTTTAACTGAAACAGATTTAGAGTATAAATAGAAATGAAATCAATTTTTTAGAAAGTATTTAGGTGTGTTCTGGAATATTTCACATGTAGTTATTAGATATTTTAAAATATAATAATCGGAGTTAATACTAGTGGGGAGTAAGAAGAGCATCTTGAAGAGTCTCAATACACAAAGGTGATACAGATTGAAAAATAATCCTGCTACAAGTTTGTGTCCAACATTTCTTATTTTGAAGCCAAGTTAAACCTCATTTAAGGTAATTCCATTGGAAATAGGAGGCCATAATGTCCTTGAGATTTTAGGTATATTTTATGTATGAGAGAGAGTCTTAATCTCCACTGTATTCTGTGGGAAAAGGAATGGAGACCTTAAGATATTTTTGTAACCTTGCTGATCTAGTGCTTATATACAGTGTTATAGTGTTTAGATATTTCAGAGAATGGAAATCCCTTTAGCTTTTGCTACTTTTTCCTATAGTCATGTATTGTAATCCATTTGTCAGGTTTGTAGGGAGACTCTCTTGCCTGAAATAAATCAGTCTAATCTATTTTCCTCTCGTATTTTAAGTAGGAAATTACTCTTTTTACTTAGAACCTAAGAAGGATTCTAATTCTTTGCACAGAAGTAATTTGCCAAGGAAGGATTTCCTTATCTTCATGTCTATTTGCTTAACCACGGAGATTGAAGGGAGCAAGGCAATCCTGATCTATTCTGAGCAGTTATTTGTTTTCCTTCATGTTTGCTTTGATACTAAGCAGTCCTGAGCCGTGTAGCATTTGAGCACTTCCCAGTACTTCCATCCTGAAAGCAGCCCACTGAGAGAGTGAAATATTACCTTCAGCCATGGAATCGATGCACAAGGAAATTACTTATTTAACAATAATTATCACTGAGCCAAGAATTTAACTTTGTCCTTCTCAACCATCTGTTATTTCATAGGGTCTGCACTGCAAAAATAGCAGCCACTTTATTAAACAGAGAGAAGAAATCTGAGGGAATTTAATAACTGTTTTCTGTAGGAAGAATTAAAGGTTTTTATTTGCATCACCTAAGTAAATTTGCTAATGTGACTGAAACAAAAGATCGGGTTTGCAATATTTATTTGAAACTATACATTTTGGGTTACATAACACAAAAAAATATCCCTCTATCATCTCCCATCAGTTGTTCTCCTGCCTGCCCTCAGCTCCAGCTCACCCTCCTCTGTGACACTGGAGAAAAGGCAGCAGTGAACACAAAACTCCTTTTTTCCTGACCGAACAATTTTTATCCTTTGGCCATTTTGGTTGAACCAAGCCTGTAAATGTGGAAGAATACTTTATACTTTGATGTGTATATTTCACACAAAGGTCAGTTAGAGTTTTTGTTATTTGTGGCAGTTTCTGGGTACCTTCCAGAACAATATTTAGAAAAATCTCAGTGCAATTTCAGCTTTTTAATCTAAATCTCTGTGGTAGCTGTTACACCCAGAAGGCCAGACTAGGAATTAGCGACATGGGAGATATAATTTTGAAGTTTTCCTGTTTCCTTTCCCCCCCTCATGTAGCCAGTTTGTAAAACACAGATTTAATGGTAGTTTGGACACAGATATTTTATTCAGAAGTTCTCCAGTGCTGAAGGATTAGGCATTGCTCAGGAGAATATAATGTCTCAAAAACCTTTTGAAGTATATTTGAATAGCTCTTGTGGCATTAAATGACCAGAAAAAAAAAAATGTCATCTTCTAGTTGCAAAGTTCTTGAAAACTCAGGAAGGAAAAATGTGCAAAAGTGCTTTAGTATCACATGAGGGGTTGAAAAGAAAATAATTTTCCTATACCTTAATACTGTTAATTCTTTCAAACCAGGAGGCATTAAAATTATTTTCAGCTGAATTTTAGGGACTATTAGAAATTTTCATTTTTTATATATTATGTAGGATATAGAATATTTAAAAGCTGTGACAGGGAAGTTCCTGTGGGAATTGTGCAGGGAACAATGTGTAAATAAGACAAAACTGAGATTAAAATCTCATATTAAGGTAGGCCTCACCAAAAAAAAAAAAAAAAAAAAAACAACTACTTAATGCTGCTTTCACTGTGCCATGTTTGTGAGATGTATTCTCTCCTCCTACCCTGCAAGCACAGGTAGAGTTCATAGAATCTTTAAATGGGAAAAGACCCTTTGAATCATCAAGCCCAACTGTAAATCAAGTCCAGCTATCATGTACTTGATGTAGTAGTTCATTATTTGATACCAAGCCAAAGGATTTAGAAAATAATTGAGGAATTACTTCACAGGGAAAGTATGTTAAAATGTTGCTGTTGTAATATTGTATAACCTTCACCAGAGTGGGTGGTTTCTGTTTTGCCCTCTTTAATGGCATTGTACCTCAGAGATGAGTGATATAACGCTTTTTAAAGTTAGGCAGAGAAATAAACTGATTTCTTTTTTAAAGGCAGGCATTAGCTAAAATGATAATACCTATACCTTTAGTTTCTGCACAGGTTACCCTACTGCTGAAATTGTGGAATCTGCTCAAGTGGGAGCAACCCAAATATTTCTCACTGTCTTTTATTTTCCCTCACAGTCTGTCGAAGAAAGCATCAAAATCTTTGAGTTGCTTCTATGAAACCAAACCTGCAGCTGCCCCTTCTCATCCTTATGGAGAGGGATGCTCTGCATTTCACAGAAATTAATCCCAGCATTTCAATTGTTGTTATGCTGCAGCATTCCATTGTGACTCAGTGAAACACACACATGGGAATCTTTTACAATGAGCTTTGCTGCAGTTCTTGTGTTACTGTTTCAGATTCTGTTGTGTGGTATGTTTTGTACAGGATACAGAAAACTTTCTGTGCATATCCACTCTCTTTGTAAGGAAGGTTCTGAGCTGTACAGTTATCACTTTTCTACAAAACTTTTACACTTAAATCAGAATTATAAAATAATACAGAGTGGGAGGGATCTCCTGAGCTCATCTAGTCCAAAATCCTGCTCAAATTTGTATATACATATAAATTGGTTAGGTGAGCACAAGAGTTTTACCTCTTTAATTAGTTTATTACATTTCCATTAACTTTGACTAACATTTTTCAAGAGCAGCAGTTTTCTGGGCTCTGGTATGTCTGACAGTGTGAACTCCAAAGGGCTGAGCTTATCAGGACCTTAAATGAACAATATCTAAGTACAGTGACACAGCTCTGCCTGCTACAGGCACACGAGAGTGACCTGGCACAGCATCCAGAGGTGATGTGATTGCCTTGGGGCAAGTTCCTGAAAGTGTGTGTGTTTGGGTGGGTGTGTGTTTGCGTGTGTGTTTCTGTGTGTGTCTGTGTTTGTGTGTGTGCGCGTGTGTTGTGTGAGTGTGTGTTTGTTTGTGTGTGTGTGTGTGTGTGTGTGTTTGTGTGTGTTTTGCCTGCACTTCAGAAAGGGCAAGCAGGATGTGCCAGGAATTAACCCGAAGGCAAGCAAGAGATGAAGCAAATGAGCTGCTTGGCTGTCAGAGAGCACCTTCTCATGGACCATAACATTAACTCCTAGGGAATAAAATGTAGCTGGAGAGTCTCTTCTGGTGTTTATTCAAAAGGAGAACTGGATTTCTCGTCTTACTCTCTGAAGCAAAACCATCAGGGAGTTACAGATAGCAGGAAAATATTTATAACCTGCTCTCATAAGAAAATTCCTTATGTAATTTCACATCCCATTGTATCAGTCCATTACAGATTTCATTTCACATACTTTTCCCTACCTGCTAATGCTAAATCAAATATATGCATGACATCAGTGTGTGTGCATTTGCAAAAGCAAGTACCAATAATCTAAATGTAAATATGTTTTTAAGTGATTCCTGCTGTAGACCCTAGAGGAGGAATGAATAAAAGAAATTTCATTCAATTTTCCAAAATAACTTTTTTTTGAGGCTTTAAAAAAAAAAAAACAACCAATATTAATTTTCTAGGAGTTAGATCTTCAGGCTTTTAAAGCTTTTTTTAATTCTCTCAATTTAGGCAAGTGAAATAAGAAGAATCAACTGCTTTTGGAACTTTTGCAAACCTCAGTGCTTTGTATTGCTCTCCAATAGAAACAGTGATAGGAACATCAGACCAGGCTGGAAGAAACGTTCACTGATATTTGGCAAAACATAATCCCACCTGAGATTATGAGAAACATGTAATTTAAACCAGTAGTAACTTGAATAATGATTCTTAAAAATTGCAATCCATTTTCATAAGTATATTTTTTTTAAAAAATTGATACCCAGTAATATTTGTCAGATACTTAACAGGATTATATTTAATATTCTTAATTTCCTATTTTTAAAATAAATTTTTAATGTTTCTTATGTTCCATGGATAATTTATGGATTAAATAACCTCAAAACAAATCATCACTTGAGGTGTTAACCAATATTTTCATGTTGTTTCAGAAAATCTTCATGGGTTTCTGTAGAAAACACATTGTGTGGGTTCCCTACAGCTGTTATATTGGTACCAGTGAAATATAAATGAAATTGGTGTGAACATAAATATGTTCAGCTTGTGGTTCTTTGATGTTAATAATAGAAACATGAAATTTAATTTTTTTGTTTGCCATGTGTATTATTTACATTGTACAAGCATTTTTCTGTTTAAGTGGTACAAAATATGACTGTGTGGTCTCTTCAATTTAATTAGTTGTGGTTTTTTTTTAATTTTAGGGCTTAACTTTCTCTTTTCATTGTAAAACCTTTTCTTTCTAACAAATTTTAAAGAACCATTTTGAAGGAATTAAGCATGCTGAGTTTATTTATTTATTTTTGTCTTTCCCAGCTGTAGGTATCCAGATGAAACTTGAATTTTTCCAGCGGAAATTTTGGACTGCAAGCAGACAGGTATATTTTAAATTGAAGTTGTTTTTTCTTCATTGAATCCACAACAATTTATTAACTGCAGAAGTGATGATTTTTGTCAGAAGCAAACTATTGTAAAGAAACAACGTATTTGAAGACTTGTTCTGGTTTTATATTTGGATACAGAAAAGGAGAATTCAGCAAGGAAGAACAGTTGCTTGATTTTTGGCGATTTGAAGGTTTATTAATTTTAGGCCCCAGTACATAATGAGTTACTTTGTTGGCACGTGGTTTTTCTCCCTTAGAGAAAGTGTAAACAGCAAACAAAAGTGTGGAATTAGTTTCTAGTGATAGCAGAATCATGACTTCTCACTTAGGTTTTGTCTCTAACACTAAGATCACACAGGTTAATTAACAGAACTATATTACTGGATCATGGTTGGCACTAACAGTGCTCAATAAACTTTACCTAAACCATTCAGGGATAGAATTTGTGCTCACTGAGGAGGATAATCAGGGTCTTTCTGAGGATTAGGAGATGCCATCCCTGGTTTGAGAATCGATTGGAACTGTGCTGATACAGAAAATAAACCCTACTGGAGAATCTTCTCTCATCTATGAATGGCCTCAAATATTTATAGTGTGGAGGAGATTGTGGTGTTTAAAGCAGCTGAAATTTTTACAGTGTGAATGAACCCTTTCTCTGTGGAGAGAAACAGAACACATTTGGTGAACAATTCAAAAGTTTGCTAGTAATTTTTAGAATTAATTTAGATAAAGATGTAATCAATATCAGCTCCTTTAAAATTGTGCTCATATGAATTTATATAAATTTTATTTTATATTCATCAAAGAGAGAATTGAAAATACTTTCTTGATTTTCTTTTATATCATCTTTAGTGTGCATCTCTTGATGGCAGATGTGCTATAAGTTGTGATGATGAAGTAAGTATTTAACAGATTTTTTTTCCATTGTATACCTTTACTGCAGTAGAAGATACAATTGATGAATATAATTTGAACCTCTCATTGTGTTCTTTATCACCTTGTAAATATTAAACTATTAGGATAGTGAAACATTTTTAAGCCTGTTACAGGTACCCACTGAATTACAAGGTTGACTCCAGTACCTCAAACCTGTGTTGCAATAATTTCTGTTTTGTGAATCCAGTTTGGGAAAACATTTGAAGCAGTGCTAAGGCATTTGTTTACCACTTTATTGTTAATGAAAAAAAAAGTCACTAGCAGCTTCAAGTCTTCAGCTGGACACCAGCAGGAACCATACAACCACATGTAGAAATTTAGTAATAGTGTGGACATTGCTGATTTAGAGATTCCAGACTTTTTCTTAATGACAAAACACACTGTTGATAGGACTCAAACAATTATCACAGCTCTGGTGAGTCTCTTGGCTCTCACATCTTCTCTCAATAACAAGAAAATATCAGCTGAACATTTACAGTATAAATTAAAGCATTTAAAATTAATGAAGACATTAATGCAATTTGAATGGCATAAGAGTCAATAAATATTAATGACTATTAATAATTATGTGTTAATTGTACATATAATTAAAAAGAAAGGGAATCAATTGACAAGTGTGATACCTTTGATCCTAAAATAGAGACAACACATTAATTAAAAACACTTTTTTTCTTGAGAGCTTTGAATTTGCTCATTTATTCTTGTTTTCCTGATGCCTCACGTTTTATTTGCATGTTCTGTTTTCTTTCTTTTTCATTTTTGGTTTCTTAACCCATGTTACATTCCATTACTGTTATTGTATACTGGAGCTGTGAAAAATACATAGAGGACTTGAGCTGGATCAAAGTTACTGCAGTTCAGATGTGTTCTCAGACCTCAGTTAACATTCTTGCTGTGTTTATTCTGGACTTCATGCCTACAGTTTTACAAGCTCAGGGACTCTCCACCTATGGAACATTCCCTTGAAATCTGGAATTCACTGAACTTGAACCTTTGGGCAAACCTGAGCATAGTTCACTTCCATTACCTGTGAAACATTGTGAATTAGAGCTCTTTCATACAGCTGTAGTCTATGTAAATGCTACTATCCCATGCATAACACTTGTATCAGAAATCTGTTTGAGATTTCCTAGTAATGAGTAAATGCATTCTGCTGCCCTTTGTCCGTGCTAAAGTTAAAATACAAGCTGTTTCTTTAACACAGTAATAACACTGAATGTTATTTATCTTGCTGGCAAGTGGTGAATGAACAGTTCTTGAATGAATATTTTTTCTCCTAGTTAGTATTTCTAAAATGGATTGAAATAGAAACCCTCTTATTTTCACATTCCACAAAAAATATATAGATTTCATTTATTGCATTATACCTGTTTCCAATAAATATGCTAAAAAAATCGTATCTTTTAAAGCTCTGGACTGTGCCAGGGAATAACTAAATCTTAGAGATTTGAGACATGGCCACTAATTCTTGAATTGAGGCAGTCTTTTCCCAACAGCACATAAGCCATAAGCTATGAAATTGAGCCCACACTTTTTCTTGTCCAGCATGACTTCTTTTATTTATTTTCTATACTATGGAGAAATATTATTTCTAAAGCAGTATCTTTAGATTAATCTTTCATGCATGAGGACTACAAATATGCATCCTCAAAAGATCTCTTTGTTGACTTAGCTCCTCTCCTCGTGCAGTGAGTGGGAGGTTTCAGGTTGACTTTGGGGAGGGCAGAGTTGTGCAGTCAGAGCCTGCATCTGAAATTCCATCCTGCAGACACCATTGGGGCTGAGGAGCTGCCTCTTCTGAGTGCATCAGCTCTGCTCAGGTCCTTGCCAGCACCATCAGCTTTTCACATTGCATTTGCCAGCTTCGGGCTTTCTAGCAGATCAAAGGTTGAAAATGAGTTATTTCAACTTCCTTTCTGACAGGTTTTCTGTCACTGGGTTTGCCTGTAGCTTGGGTTCTCCTTTTAGAATGAATATCCTGCATTTGCATTAGGGAATTATGTTTATTCTCAACTTTTGCCTGATTTCAGCTTCATGGTTGTTTTTTTTTTTTTTTTTTTAAATCTCCACTTCAAGATAGCATTTCTGCTAATTTCTTCTCCTTGGTCCCACAGGACAGTACTAATATGTGGCCAAAATGAGACTATCTGAGCATCTCTGGAAATATCAGACTGCATTTTCACATCCAGCACAGCTAGTACTGCATGGGGCTGCTTTGCTGCCTAAAACTGCACATCCAACAGCAGTCTTGTTGGATGTGCAGAGTGTAGCAGAAAGCATATTTTGTCATATTTCAGTACAGCCCATTAGCAGCAGGAAAGGTTTTGAATTAAAAACAAAGCCAGGAGGATTCCTGTATTGAAAGCCATTGTGCTTATTTTTTCCTTTTATATAAATGCAATAGAAAATTCAATAAGCATGAATAAAAATGTTGCTGATTTAGACCAACAATAGAAATACAATAAAGATTTAACACTGAGATAGTTATTTGGCAATCCTGAGGAGAAACTAAGTTATATCAAGGTTTCAGGGTTTGAGTTGAACCTTATGTTTAAACTCTGAAGTGCAGCAATTAAAACTTTGCCTGTAGCAAGTAATTCTGTGAGGTTAAAATGGTGCATGTGTGTGTGGAGGGAAGCTCTGATTTGGCTTTACCTTGTTTTCTACAGTTCAGACGTCTGACCTACAGAAAGCTAACAGTCCTACATCTAAACCCAGTTCCCAATTAAAAATACAATTTGAAAAGCTTTAGGAGACCTGTGGGGCCTCTTTTACAGACGTTTCTGGTCCCATCCCCCAATGAACAAATTAAAAAATATTACCTGGTCCCCTGTTGGTTCTGCAGGCTGACACTGTGTTTTCATTAATACATTGTTAGGGTAATGACAGTGTGCTGATGTTTTTCTCCAAATACAGGAGAAGCCATCAGGAGCACTGAAGTTCTGTGCCTTTGCAAACTTTGCTATAAGGAAAACTTTTAAAGAGGGATTATAAAACCACAAAATTTTAGGTTTTATGATTGTTTGTAATTATCTTGTACCCTCCCATTCTGTACACATCTTTTTTTAGCTTTGCATGGAAAAAGCATACAAATTAAATTGGATAATATCCCATAACCAAGACTACACTAGTTTTGATTTTATGTAAAACCTTATAACTACCTGAAGGTTTTACCCATTTAGAATTGACTTAGAAATAAAGTATACAATTAACTTATTGCTGTATCTTAAATTCAAAAATTAAAATAGTATTTTGTTATTTTTCAGACAATCAATTGTTACCTAATAGATAACAATGGATTTATTTTAGTGTCTGAAGACTATCAACAGGTAAGTGTAAGATTTTTGTTGAGTCTTCTCATGTAACATATTAATTTAAAATTACTTTTTTTAAAATAGGCCACCATCTGAAAATCATAAGGAATTAGTAATATAAAAAAAATTCCTTCTACAAAGAATGTAAGTTTTTTTCTCATAGGAACTCAGTTTCTTTCTCGCATTGGAGCAGGGTCTGTTCTTAAACTCATAAATGTTCTCTTTGAAGACCTTTCTCACTGCAGAAGTGTCTGTCTTCTGTAAGAGGCTTTTGCTCCTAGTGGAAAAAGTCTCTGTGCCATTTTTGTCACATGGAAAGGTTGGGAAGGGAGAGGGGGAGGATACAGAGCTTTTACATCCAAACTTAAGATAATGAGATTTTACAGAGCTGTTGGCTGAGGAGTTTGTTTTCTGAAGGGGATTACAGCCATTGAAGGATTAAAACTAAGCACTCAGCATCATAATGGAGAGGACAAGAAATATGATTATTAAAGAATCATAGAATGTTTTGCTCAATCCTGCAAACCTTATGAAGGAACCATCACCATTCTCATTAACTTTTGCCTGAAAACTGCTGGGATGGTGCCCCAGTCATGTCAGAATTGTCTGAACTTGAATTTTTTAATATGTTTGGATTGTGAATAGGAATAGCCACACTCCTACTTAGTCCTCAGCTGAATTAAATTTGTTATGATGAGCATGGCCTAAGAAATGCACTTATTATGGAAGGATCTTGATACACTGAAAACCTGTTTGCCTATTTCCCCTTTTGTTGTTGTTACTATTTACAGATGCACAGCTGTGACTTGTGTCAGTGACTGGCCAGCTCATAGCTGGCTGTGGCCACTAATGATTAGGAAGAGATATTTCTTTCGGTAACCACCTGACAACAGCCATTGCGTATTCCTATGAACATTTTGGTCAACTGTTGCACCAGAAGTAGGCTGGAAATGTGTTCTGACCTGTTTTATTTGTTAAATGTATCCCAGTCTAAGAGGCACAGCAGAGAGGTCTCTATGTTTATATCAATTTATCATATTATTACCTTAGTGTATGTCTGTTTTAGATCTATAGTGTGTATACAGGCTGTTGTGGGTAGAGAAGTGGGATGATGCCTTATCAATTCCTGACCCATGTGGGGTTGCTTCTGCACTGTTTTTCTATCAGCTTTCCAAACATGACCTGAACTGCTCCGAGAATCAGGGGCAGAGTAATTCTTCTGAATTGCAACTAAATCCTGATGTATTAAAAAAAAATAATAACCTAAGTGTAACTGCTTGGGGGAGGGCTGGCATTTACAAAGGGAGCTTTTGTGGAGAGAACTGTCACTGAAATGTCTTCATAAGACTGGTGCAGGACTTGACAAATCAGGTTTATTGCTATCTAAGGTTATATGAGGCATTTATGGTTTGGAGTTTCTTGACGTTGCCTGCCTCTCCAATCGTTAGGGTAATCTTTCTTCATCAGTCAGCCAGGGCTGTTGAAGCTGGTATTTTTAGTCATGTTCCTTGTGTTTCTAGGAGACTTTACATACCCATATGTTTTGGAAAATGTTCCAAGGCTCCCCTGAGGAAATGAAAGGGGAAAAAAAAAGCCAATACTTGCCTTTTAGGTGGAGGAATGCCTTTTTTTAGCTAGGGCTGTAACTTCTCTGCCTGCAAACTCCCAGGTGCATACTTGAGGTCAGCTAAGTTCCTTGTAATGGAATTGGGGTTTAGTTCATACAAAACCTATGGAATCCATGCAATCTGAGAGTGTAGTGCCCTTTCCCCCTCATAAATTGTGGGATTTCTCCCTTTAAACAATGAAGAGAAATATCCAATCCTCCTGGGAGCTGAGGCTCTAAAATAAAACAGGTCTTCCCAAGGTAGAAAAGTGCTGCACTTGCAAAATTTTCCACTGTCACATGAATGGCTGCAAATGACGGAGTCACTTCCATCTTACTGACCAAATTTATAACAGCAATGTTTGTTTTCTCAACAGAGATTTATTTTTATTAGTCCACAAGTACTGAATAGGGACAAAATGAGTAATTCATCAAGCTGAGTGGTTTTAAGTATGAAATGACTCTGAATGGAGGCAAAATTTATAGGATTGATGAAATGTACTGTTCCAGCTCCTTAAACAGGTCATACAGGAATTATAAACAATTTTTTTTAATGATTGTTTTTGAAATCCTCTCACAACGTGTTTATATCTTTTTTGAGTAATATTTTAATCACAAGAGTTTGAGATCAGATTTGTGTGTTTTCTTTACAAGCTTTAGGTTTGGAAGGCTTTTATTTTTGCTATTGGATGTTATATAATGTACCTCAATATATTGTTTAAGCTCTCACATCTGCTCAGGAGTAATAATATAATCCCAACAATTTGCCCTGACTGGGAAGTCCTCTTCAGATTTTATGTAGCAGCAGTCCTGAAAACCTGTCTATGTAGCTTTCAAAGCCACTCTTGTCAGATCTTGTCAGATATGCCAATTTAAATTGCATCCAGTGTTGTTTTGCATTTATCTATGCTTTTAGTAATTCCTTGCATTTTCCCTTTACAGACTGGTTACTTTTTTGGGGAGGTTGAAGGGGCTGTGATGAACAAATTACTAACAATGGGCTCTTTCAAGAGGTAAGAATTAACATTTTATCTCTTAAAAAATGTTCTAACAAAACATTTAAAATCATGTAAAAGAAAGCCAAGACTGGGGATGTGGCTGGATTCTCATCTATACCTCTGTATCTTTTCTGTACAATCTGAGTGTAATTTGATGCCATACACATCAAATATTGAGAGTATTGGGGTCAGCCTGCAGGGAGTTGCTTATTAAAGAATGGTTTATTTAAATGTAATGCTAAAACTGTGTCACTTTCCTCTTCCCACTGGGCTCAGGTGGAAAAGGGATTGGGCCATATCCACTACTGAGCAGTTTTAAACAGCTCTAAAGCAAAACATTTATTCAACATTATCATTTTGACCTGTAAAAACTTTGAGATTGCTCAAACTAGACAGTGCAAAACATCCTGCTATTGAAGGGAAAATGTGTCCTCCCATAATCCATCTCCATTCACATGCTAACATACCTTTGAACGTGGTTGTGACTATTGACCTGGTCTCACTATCATGATGACATTAAAAACTAACAGTGATTTTATGTGTTGTCCTTTGAAATAAATTATGCACTCTGGGGAATAAAGAATAAAATTTTCCTTTAACCTGTAACTCAACATTGGAATCTTCATGGCTCTCACGTGGTCTAAGAGCTGTTCATGTGGTCTAAGAGCTGTTCTGTACCCCTTTGTCCTCTTCAGCACAAGAAAATTGCTTTTCTACTTTTCCTTTTTATTTTCCTGTGCATTTCTAGTATGAATAAAAAGACATATCACTGCTGCCATCCACCACTGACTTTAGTTACCACCTGTGAGGCTGTGTACAGAGCCTCTCTGAATCTCTCTCTGGTTTGTGGGCTTGCTTGGTAAATCAGCTCCCCTAAAGGCAGAAGTTTTCAGTGCATGGCAGCTGAGTACCACTCCTGTAAATGACTGACCTGAAATGTGAGCATCTAGCATTCATGCAATCATCCCCAGTCCTAATTTTGTGAGGGTGGCAACTTTTTTTGCATTTAGCACTAAATTTTTAACGTATGCTGTAGAAGGAAGTAAAATAATACCTGTTTATAGACTGGATTTGGCAATGAAAGAATCTGTTTGTACAAGAGATGAAGCATTTTATTTAATGCAAAGGACAAAATACAGTAAAAACAAAGGGCTAATATTTTAACTTGTTCCAATTTGGTTAGTCCTGCCCAACAAAGCATTTCAAACAGAATGTCTACTCAGTGATTGACAGTGGTGGGTGCCACCATTGAGAAAATAGGCATAGCTTGAGAGTTCCTTTTCAAATGGAGTGGGTGGATCTTCGGACTGGACCATTGGTTAGGATTTTGCTGGTCTTGGTCTTCATTATCATAGATAACGAGGTCATAGGGTCAGTGTAACTGAGCTGCATACTAAGGAAAATGTAAACACAATGAGCCAATTATTCGACCATGATAAACTGACCATTGCAAATCAGTTAAAGATGGGACAGAATCAAAGTGGAGTCGTTGCAAGTGAGCAACTTCCCCTACAGCGGAAAGCAGCTGCTGGATGAGAAACCCAACAAACTGTCTTTGAGCTGTGTTAGATGAGGCCTTTAAATAATTTTTTCCAACAATATGAAGAAGAAATCTTCATTTTATTCATCTTCATAGATGAAGGAATCTTCATGTATGAAAAATAGAAGCATTCACAATATTTTTAAGATTATTAATTTGTCTGTGTGGAGATTGTGTTTTGCTTTTCCAACATTCATTTATATGAAATAAGTAGAAAAAAAAAAGACTGCTTGGTGCAGTGGCAAGATCTGTCAGCAGTACCATTTCCCTGAGAGCACAAAGTGGGAATTGCACAATTATATTGTCATTGCTGCTCTTACCATGGGGGCAAAGCAGAGAGTGAGCTCTGTCATTGCATTTCATTCTGATAATACCCAGAGCCATCCTTCAATTTGTTCTTACGTGGCAGGTGAATTTTATCACCCTGCCCTGCTTGAGCTGGTTGTGCTCCCTTTTGGGTGAGTTTGGCAGGTTCTGGGGAGGCTGATGTGCCCTGCAGAAGGGTTTGCTGATGGCTCCAGCAGCCGTGGGGGTGGGAGTGCCCTCGTCCTCCAGGGCAGTGGCCCAAGTGGCAGTGCCAGTGTGTGCTCCCACCTCAGGGCTCCTGCCAGCTCCCAGCCTCTGCACCCACAAAAGGAATGAAATAACTCTTTGTCTCTTCTCCCAACTACTGCAAATTTGGAGTGATACAGAAGTGCTTTGTGGGATCGAGATGGAAGTGTTAGACAAAAGGGGGCTGTTTGCTGCTGACTGTATTTCTTTTCAACCTGCAGCAGGATGAAATTCAATTTTTATGTTCACTGTTTATTTTTTAAAGTGAACTTAAATACCTCCTTCCCTCCTCAATTTCTTTAAACTCAGTACTTCTTTTGAATAATGTGTGCATATTTATGTATGTATATTTTCTTAGTTTATGGGGTTTATAATTAGGGAGAAAAACTATATCAGTGCCTGCACAGCAACGTGACATGCTCTATGATTTCATTTAGCAAAATTATGTTTATCTTATACCTTAAGTATTGCACACAATTAAATAATTTAAATATGATTTAAATGTATTATTAAATAAATTAGGATGTGCTTATGTAAAAGTATCTGCTTCACATAACTTAGAAAAGATTCTTTAAGGTTTTCTCAGCACTTTGTTTATATAAAAACAGTGAAAAAAAAATTTAACAGCTCAAGCCATGAAAATTTAAAAAACCAAAAAACCAACACTAACATCAGGAAAATTAAGGGCTATCAAAGCAATGAGATCCCTAAAGAAATAAGCATAATAAATCTCTAAGAGAAAATGAAACATCTCTTGACTTCCAAGAACTTTTACCCTTTCCAGTAGGAGGAAAAACTAAGCAATTCTATATGAAAACCATGGAAGCAGCATCATTTCCTCTTACAGTTCTCTTTCTACCAGGCATCCTCTTACATAGAAGAGTCTATGCGTTGCTATTTGACATTTAGAAATTTTGTAATTTTGATATTTGTCAATATTGCTATTTGATCAGGTTGTCAGGATGTGTGACTGAAGTGGCACACCCCTGAAATACAGCTTTGCCAGGAGCTAAGGCTCAGTCATTCAAGTTCCTGTTGCTCTGAGAGCTTCTCTTGTTTCCCAGTTTTTCTTGTAGCACAGATCCTTCATCCGTGCTCTCCACATGCACCAAGGGGCAGACTTTCATCGGTCTGTCTTGATTTGCTTTATAAGCAAAACCCATGAGTGTTTTTTGCCCTAGGTTATGAGTATAAAAGAAATTCAGAACTCTTTTCTTCTCCTAGAAAGTATTTAGTACATTCTTAAGGCCAAATCATGAGAACAGTAACTAGTTGCTTAAGAACAGGACACAGTTTTCACTGAGGCAGCACAGCATCCAAATGAGGGATATTTTTTTTATTTTGGCCAGCATTTAATATTTAAACATTTTATTAAGATATTCTTAAATTTATTTGGGTTTGTTTGGGGTTTTTTTTGGGGTTTTTTTTGTGCTAAATTGACACATTTAAAGTTTGTGTTTATTTTCACGTGGATTTTTAGAGTAATGGATTTAGCTGCCTATTAATTGGGCAAACTGTATATATATGCTTTGGAGAAGATCAGAGGTAGGCAGAAGGAACATTCCAAATTGCAGTTGTTGGACTTGGCATTGGACGTATTGTCATTACCAACAAGGTTTACTTTTTATTTCAGCATTTACTAAATGTGAATCTGGTACCTGCACACTGAAACTCCCACATTGCTGTGGGGTATATTTTCTGTTCATATTTTATTCCTGCAATAGCTAAAATTAATGTCTTTAATCTGAGTTTTAGGTATTGTTTGACTTTGTAAATATTACTTTTAATGTAGTGTATTCAGATACAGAATCAGTTTATACACTTAAGGAGAAACACAGGCATAGTTGTTACATAAATGAGTTCTCATTTCATATTCTGTAAACACAGGCTGAGTTGCAGTTTTTATACATGTTATTCCTGGAGAACCTTGGCAATTGGGAATAGCTGAGCAATAAAAGCAAAGATTCGTGATGACAAGTTTGTTTTGCCAAAATGCTCTAATTTAGCTTTATTCTTTCCACTGATTTTGGTGAAAGGTATTACCCTGGCAGTTTCTGGACACTAATAATGTCAGTGCAGGTGTGAGAGCCAGAGCAGCAAGAGTCTGATGTTTCCTACAGTGTCCTGCTGTCTCCCCACAGGAGCCTCTCTAGACTTAGAAACTGGTTTGCTTTCACACTATTCAGCACTGTCCCTCTTCCCCTTCCTTGTGAGAATGCCAGACAGGCTGCACATCTTAAGTCTGAGTTATGAACATCTTTCCACCAAAAGCAAGCTGTAGTCACCACTGATTTTTCCACAGACTGCTGAGTAAAGCATAAGGTCAATAGTTAGGACTTCTCTATTATTGGCTTCCTTTGTTCAGCTCTTTAAGGCAGTTTTTCTTTTTCTATAGACTGGATGTTTACTTCCATGGTAAAAAGTTTATTATTCCTACACATTATTTGAAACCCACCAAATCTTGAACTGCTGACAAAACATTTGACACTTGTATGCATTGAAGACCTTTCAGCTGCTACAACTGTCATTGGTGGTATTTTATACTACCAAGTAGAAATCCATGGGTGTGATGAAAACCTGGCTGAAAGCAATAAAGGGTACATCTGCCAATATATCCTGTGCTGCTGGTAGGTCTTGGAAGTTTAATTTTCTTGAACCAGATCCAGTGCTCAATTTTAAGTACATTGCAAAGTAGGAGAGTGGAATTTACTCTCTCTGGAAATTGAAAATAAAAGGGTTTTCACTAAGATGTGTTTGGCTGCTGAAGTTACATAAACTGATGATGCATGTTTTGGTTGTGCTAAGTAGCTGATGCTGAACAAAATTGCTCTGTGGACTTCAGATGTGGAAGTTGACAGTGTGGTGGTGTCAGAAGTCTCAGGAATGTCCTCTGTAGCAAGAGCAGAGCTCCCTTGGGAGGTGCTGAGATACAGAGCATGGATTTGGGCACACAGATGGATTTAGGAAGTTGTGTTCCCTTGCTATGATCAGTTGGACACCACACGGTCAGCTGCAAACAGTTACTTAAAGCTGAAGCACAGTCACTTCAGAAAGGATGATCTGGAAGCCTTTCTTCTGCAACACTGGGTTAAGTCCTTCAGAGTGAGAAGTCTATTTTCTAAAATCTCAGAAAGACTTTAGCAGTAAAACAACACCCTGGAAATGACACCTGAGCAAAGGAACACTTCAGCATCTTAGGCAACTCATTTGACTGCAAATGCTCCAATACCTTTCATAAGGACTAGGGCTGCAAGACTTTTACTTTCCTATTATATTTATAATAAAACCAAAACAACTGGATTTGAAATTGTGAATGCCTTGGAACCCATATAATACCATCTATAGTGGCAGAGAATCAGGAACTGCTTCAGTATATGGCAGTGGTCAGGTTTCAGCATGGTTATCAGCTTCATGCACTGATTTTTGAAGTGTGCTACAAAATTCTTATTTGTTTCTGGGTCTTTAAAGAATGTTTTGCAGTCATGTTTTCACTGATGTATTTTGCACATCCTGTGCTATAATTGTTTGAATCATCTTTAGAAACTTTGAGCTAGGTGATGAACAGCCCACTTTGAAAGTTACTGAGACAGCAATGCAGTTTTAAACCCAAAACTTATTCCAGACTTTTGTTCAGAAAACTAAATAACTTTCTAAGCATTTGCTCCTTTTAGGTTTTTTTTGGTTTTCCTTTTTTTAAACCTGGACACATTAGCTGATTTCTCATTTTTCCTGAACCATAAGCTTCACACTGGAAAATTAAAATATATTTACTCAAACTAAACTAATCTAACTAAACCACAGATGATATCAAGCCCTTCAAAGTTCTGCAGTGTTCCACATAATTTTGAGGTTGTTCATTAAAACTCTTCTCTTCTGCCATCACTCTAAAATTTATTCATTTTTTTTCCTTTTTAATTAAGGATTTTTTTAGTTCCTTTTTTTTTTTGTTTTTTTTTCCCTTAATCATAGTGCAATCTTAGATTGCTGAATACCCCCTACAATAAAATAAGACAATCTACAAAAAATATAACCTAGTATATTGGAATGCAGTATTAATCATATTTCTGGTTATTTGTGGGAGTACATATTTCAGTCTTTTAACACATTCTTATCTTTGAACATTTAAAGAAACTATTGACTCTATCAGAATGCAATAATTACATAAGAAATGTAATCCAAGTTCAAATACTGAGGGGGGAAAGGCTTTTATCAATACCAAAAATTAAGTTCAAATGATAATAGATCTTTCACATTACATCATAGTAGTATATATATTCTATTTATAGTATAGAATAGTATAACAGTGCATATATATGTACTAGTATATATAATAGTATTATAACAGTAGTTGATTAACACTGCTTAGCAGAATAATGAAGTCCACTGATTGACCATTAAGTTCTGCTGTGTGAAACTGAAAGTTGAGACATTGATTACACTTCCAAACATGGAACAGTTACCAAGCTTAATAAATATATTGAAAAAATATTTACAATGAATACAGAGAAAACAATGTATTCTGCTTCTAAGGCTAGGTATTAAATGAAGCAAGAGGGGACTCTTTCACCCATATGGAATTTCTTGATACTCTGCACAGAGCACATTAATACCATTAATACCTCTAAACTGCCCTTCTCTATGCATTTATCTCTTGCCTCCATCACTGGGTGGTCCAAGTGCACCCACACCACCACCGTGCTTGGATCCCAAGGAATTAAAGAGTCGATAAGGCTGGAAAGGCTGAGCTCTAGAAATTCCTTTCCAGGGGCTGGATCCTGACCATGGTTAAAGGATGAAAAAGAAGGAAGGGAAAAGCTAGGGGAAGTGGTGTATTTCTGCATGCCACAGAGGCAGCACAGCTTACACCGTGTACTGCTCTGTTTGTCTTGGCAGATCTGGGTGCGCGGATCTGGCTGTGGGCGGGATTCTGCCAAGGATGGTCAGTGTTCTACTCACACCATGTTTAGGTCTCCAGTTATGCGTTTGTCTCCCATGTGCCTCTCTCTGCCAGTCCACAAAACAATGGCTTCTTAGCCATTTCTATTCTCAGCATAAGTAAAAAACAATAATATAAGCAGGATAACCATGTGCTAAATGTTTAGTTGAAGCTGCAGCATCCAATATATCAGAGATTTTGTCTGTAAGCCAGAAAGAAAATATAGACATAATAAAGAAGCTTTTAGTGATGTTTGCTGTCACAAAAATAGATCAGAAAAATAAAATATACTCTCTACCACAATGGAATGCAATGTTTTATTGGTACCGCTTGCAAGGTTTCATGGCATGCAGTGCAGGATACCTCATGGTGATGCTGAATGCATTTCATGACCTGGTTTTGGCAGCTTCTGGGACATCCTCTGTGTAGCTGAATTTGTGTGCTCTTCTTTCCTCTTCACTTAGAAGCAAGGCACACATTGCAAAACATTTTAGTCCCATCTCATACCTCTATTAACCATCTCTGTCCAGTTGTGTTCCCTTGTCCCTCTGATGATGCAAAAGTCAAATGGAAATGTTTCCAATAACAATAGTGAATTCTCTAGATTTACACTTGTTGCAAATTATTAGTTAAGGATTCTTTACACCTGCTACAGATTTTAAATGCTTTGTTTTTGTGGATTGAAAAAGTTAATTTATTGTTCTATGGACAGACAGATTTAGATAATCACAGTAATTCCATGTACTAGCTCTGAGTTCTGGATTTTACATTTAGATCTCTGAAGTGTTTCGATGATGAGTAAGATTGCAAGCATAAGTAAATTTCCCTGTTTACTATGCATCTGAGGAGGCTTATACCATAAGTTGATTACAGCAGGTAGCTGGAATATTTTGCCTTCATGAAAAGAAGCAACGGTAAACCCATCCTGCTTCAAATATCTGTACTGTCAGTGCACTGAAATTCCACCTCTGTCTCCTTCAGCAGCAATGCCATGTTCAAAGCAGTTGTGCACTGAGATGCTGGGACTGTAGAAGAGGGTTTCTGCTTTTACTGAAGTTTGAGTGGTCTGTTGTGCGAAGCCTCTCAAATGCATACACTCTTTCATTTTCTGGGGCTAAATGTGCTGATCTTAGTCCAGAACCAATTGTTTTAGCATTGTGTTGGATGTGTATTCTCCTCCTCCCCACACTGTTTATGCCATCCTGTGTTCACTCTCTGCGTATCTTCCCTGGTTCCTCCCAGTTATGCTTTTGCTTTGTTCTGTAGTCTGCTAAAATCCTTACAGTTTTCACAGCATTTCTTACACTCTTTTGTGTAACCTGTATCTTAACAATCCCATTCCCTCTTTCCCTCCGAGCTGTTACAATTTTTATTTTCCTGTCCACTTTGTGAGCAGAATGTTCCATATCATCATTTTTATTCCTCTGTGTTTTCTTCTTTTAGTCAAGCAGTTTTCTGTTCTTCCCTGTAGAATTACACTTTATGACTACCAGGCCATGTGTAGGACAAACAAAGAGAGTAGCGACAGTGCCCATAGCTTACTGGACGTAAGTACAGCACGTCTCATGAGCATCTTTCCATGCCATCATCAAAGAAAATTGCTGCAAATATCTCATGGCCCTTGTAAGGCTTTTCTTTTGATTTGGAATGCTTACAGCTCTCGTGTTTATCCCAGAGCATACAAGGGGTGGTTTGTTATAAACTAATGCAAAGTGTTCTGGTTTTTCGAGTTCAATCGTTTTAATGCTGGGCCACCATTTCTGAGGTTCTGTCAGAAAGGTCTTTGCACTGTATGAATGTGCCTGCTTAGGAATTTGTAAATTTGGCAATAGACTGTGTTTTGTCTAGGGGACTGGAAACACATATGCCTTTTCTGTATGTAAACATGTAATTCAAATTAAAATTTGAGATTTTTTTTTTTATACAAAAGGAATGGTTCATTGACAAGGCATGCAAGTCAGTGATTTTAACAATTTCTTCTTCTTAGTATTTAAACATGTTTTTTAAAGTATAATTTCAATGCATTTAAGACCTTTGTTGCAATTTGAGTGCAAACCCTGTCCCTCTGCTAGGCTTGATTAGAGACAATCTGGGTCTTGCCAAGGCAACACTTCCTTATTGCTAAATCCTCTATGAGGGTAATAATCCCAAGGATACTTTGTGACCATACATCCATTTTGCTGATTGCTGTAATAATCTGTTAGAATTTATCAGATGTTAGATAGAGGTTTTGCATATTAAAAAGGAGCTGTTTTCACAAATAAATGAGAGTAATGGCATGAAAAATTTTTTATGTAAAGAGAGCAGCAGCAAAACACTGGCAATTTTGCCAGTCTGGAAAAGTTGCCTAATAGTATTTATTTTTAAATGCACATCTAACTACAGAAAAATATAGATATAACTAGAAAAAAAAAAAAGAAAAACAACCTTTAATAATTTTGTACATTTGGGGGTGTTTTTATTTACATATTTACATGATTGTGGTTTTGATATGCCTGGACTTACGGCATTTATCAGTTTGTTATCCACTAAAGTCTGAACCCTAAAAAAGACCATCTTCCCATCATAAATACTAGACTGCAACGAGACCTAAACTATTAGTGAAATAGATCAGGCTGCTGTGAAACACATTTGCATGAAATATCTTAAAGTATATTACAACTCTTAACAACAACCTTCTATCCAAAACTTGGGACTTCAGTTCAGTTTGCCTAAGCACTCAGCAAGTAGAGCTGGAGAATTATCCCTTAAAAAGTGGGCTCTAACCCAAAACTATATTTTTTTATTATTTCAAAGTTTTTCAGGATACCTAGGGAAAAAAAAAAAAACCCTGCATCTGTTATGGGATACACTGAGACATGTCAAGGATTTTTTTAATTTAAATATAGTCAAGCTCTTCAAACTTCAAGAGAGTTTTGGTGATCCTAAGTATGAAAGATGAACATAGTTTTAGGTTATTATTTTCTTGTTGATTCAGTCACTTCTATCTACCATGACTATTGAGAAAGTATAAAGAGAACAAGCATTAAAGACACATAGGGCTGATTCCTCATTTTTCTTGTTTTTTGTCCAGTTTTTGACTCATAATGTTATTAGACGATATCCAGTATAATTTCTGCTTAAGTAAAAGTTTTACTCACAAATGTTTATCCTTCCTGTTAAGAATTTTGGTTTTATAAATACAGGAATAGAGACAGGGACAAGATAGCAACTCCCTAAAAAGTTCCTATTCTAAGCAGCACAGACATGGAGAAGAGGCATCAGAGACTCTATCCCAGCCTTTTAGACTGTGGGAGTGAGGTGATAAATTGGGGATGGACTAAACTTACAGATCACCAGGTCCATTTCTTTATCAGAATAGTTTTGCTTCTTAACAGCTTTCCAGATACTTTGTTATTTAGCACTTCTTTTGTTTTAATTGTTCCAAGACCTACTTGATTCTCCATAGAACCACTTTGTTGCAAATGTAGCAGCGCCATGGAGCGACAGAACAAAATTGTTTTGGCTCTCAGTGGTGGTTTAAATATGTAGAGAGAATAAAACTCCTGCAGTTTTTGTTGCAGTTTTTGAAGAAAGCATCTGTGAGTGGAAGAGGGTCTCAAGTAAAATCACATTTCATGAGAATGCATTTATATCAATGTAATTACATGTTTATTCTGCTGGAATTTCAAAACAAAACATGTTTTCATTTTTTGTAGACATTAATGTTTTTTTTTCCAATACACTGGGGTTTTAAATTTCGATTAATTTCTAGTATTAAAATAGTTACTAAAACACATGGTACATTTCACACTAAATAAGTATTCTTCATAAGTAATAGCAAATACATTGTTTTACATGAAATTTTGCATTATGAAAACAAAAGTATACAGCACATTTCATTACTTGGGCATGAAATTTCAGGGTTTTTGATTTGGAATGAAAATAAATAAGCTGTCCCACAGGGCTGACATTTGCTTTTCTTTCATCTCCTGGAAAGTCTTGTAGTTCTTTACCTTTTCCTATAAGACAGGGCTTGACAGGTGAAAATCTCAGACATTTTTCATTCTGCTGAGTTGTGATCCCAGCCTTCCATGGCATTGAGTCCTTTGGGTCTGTGAGTCCTCAGCCCTGCACAGAAACTTTCTCTATGACCCCTGAAAATTTGAGTTGTCCTGTTACTGCTCTGCCAAACAGCACTGCTTCAGTGAGTGCAGATTTGTGGTGGTTTAGCATGATTTTAGATATCTGAGGAGGTCTGGCATTCTGATTTCTATTTGGTAAAATAATCTGTTTGTATTTAACAGAGTTGGCAGAATTTTATTCAACTAGGACATTCTAATAAAGATGAAGGATACAAGGAGAAATTCCAAATTTCTGGAAGCTGACTTTTCTGCCTGGCTTTTTTTCATGACAGATTAATCCTATTAATAGTCTTTTCAAAAATGAAATATTCAGAATATATCACAAGTGCTGTCAACAGAGGATTTTCAAAGGATTTGCTGTATTTGTTATGATCCAGAAAAACAGAGGGAGGAGGGAAATAAACTTCTTAAAGTGCTTACAACTGGATTGTCAAATGACACAGATAAACATTTAGGTAAATTCAGACTTTTCTGAGCCTAATGAGGCTGAGTTAATGAATAGAGATTTGCATTCAAGCCTGTGAGTTGCAGCCCAAGAAAAGCTCATTTTATCTACCCGAACTGTTCCTCTAGCAATAGCCTGGGAAATAGGAACCCCTAGAGGTTAAAGATTTAAGAATCATCTGCAAGAACTTTTCTTTTTCCACTGATAATCTGTGTATATGACCAAGTATGATAAAAAGGAAATTTCATTACTTATACATTTTAATAATCAGAATAATATTTCTTGATCATTATAAAAGAGGTTTTTATGCTCCATATGCATTTGAATAACCAAAGGATGGTTTTTACATGAAGAATTCAGTTAAGATATAATTGCTGCATGTTTTGACTTTTTATTAAATGAGTTTCTTCTCTCCAGCCTTATAATGCCTTCTTTGCTGCAGTAAAGTGGATCATGACTGAATTTGTCTTGTAAGTATATTTCATCAAGAATGTAACAAATATTTCTATGAATGACTAAATACTTGTACTTTTGAATATTAGCATTTGTACCTTTTGTATTTAACATGCATCGTGATGCTTTTCTTGGATGATTTTAAATATAGCCATATTTGTCAAATTTTTTTCCAATTTCGCATTTTTGAAATCTGAATTTTGGCTGTATGACTGCAGTTTCACTTTTATCACATTCATGGTCTTCACTTATATCTGCATGTCTTTGTTTAGCAGATCACAATACACAACCCAAATTTCTTTCTGTGGTTATTATTGTTAAATATTAGATACATGTCTGGCTGTTTGTGATGCTGCTTGGGTGGGCTGCTGTGAGAAGAGAAACTTGTTACCCTGACTCACTGTATGGTTTATCACTTCATAAAGTTCTGTAAGAAGGACCCATTACAGTGCCAGAAAAGGTGTTCTTGGATGTTGCTGAATTTTTCTATCTCCACTAATACTTAAAAAATTCCCAGTTAATTCATAATGATCATTATCTTTAAGAGAAGGTGTCTAAGAAATAGCAATATCACATTAAGAAGAGGAAGCCTTAAAATGTGTTGGTTATTAAGCTATATGTTTTATTATTCTTATCTGAAAGCAGAGCTGCAGATATGAGTGAATTTTATTTTACTGACATAGAACTGATTATTTTTCTTGTAGGCTTGTTTAATTGTAAATTGTATGAGCTTTTTTCAAAGTTCAGAATAAGAGTTAAGGAGAACTAAATTAATGACTGCTGCCAGAGGGCAGAGATTGATCTGAAATGCAGTTTTCTAAGTGAATATAAAGGAAAGAAATTATGTTAAAATTATACTGATACTGCATTTCACAGCTTTTAGAATGTTAAAACCTTCTATGTTCATAAGTATTGTAGATTCATGGGCATATGATGAACTGGATGTTGGTTTCATATTCTTTATTTTACAACAACTGATTGACTGATACATTTCAATCCATTCTTCCAAGGAAATCATGGTGTATTTCAGTTCTTCACAATTTAGTTAGAGTTGATTAGACTATGATTAATCTTTTCTGCCCCTCAAAGTAAAACAGCTTTATTATTTCAATTTGAGAATTAAGAAAATAAACTATTTTATGTGTACTCCTGCAAGGTAGCCAGGATAGTTATAATCCCATGGCATTTTACTAAAGTCAAAATACCC